ATGACCTATTATTTGTAAAGATTAAAATTAATCAATCGCATACAAGTGTGAAGAAAAATTAGCTGCGACATTGCATAAGGGTGATCTCATCAAGCTCAAAAACAGCTGCATTAGAAAAATCTTCGATTTTTCGTATCGTAATACGGTTTACGAAGAAATGTTCTTACGAACGAACACGAATGAACGATATTTCGGTGTAGAATTGGTACGTCATAGAAGCGCCCTTTTCAAATACGCGAATCACGAGCGTTAACGTTTCTCTATTTTTACCTGAAATTAAGTTGCCTACCACTTTTCATAGGTAGAAACCTCGTAGATAGTTTGCCTATCTTTGTTGATAATTATTGTTCGTGACATCGAGGAACTGTAACACATACATAAACAAAGATGACACGGACGATCGCAATTGAAAATGATATGCGTCATTTTATAACACTAATTTCCTGTACTAACACGCTTTGAAGGAATAGTTCAAACGAACGCAATGACGTCGTGGGATGGGAATGGGGAAGTGGGGGGAGAAATAGGATAAACAATTATCCTTATTACAAAATCATTTATATTTCAATCGTTTCGTGACATATAGCGCCACTTTAATAACTTATCGTTTCGAATTATAATTATTGGATAATAGGTAAACGTTTATCTTTCACATACAATCACTTTAAATTTTAGTATCATTTCGTTACAATATAACTTAGAATTAATATCTCAAATAAATAATATTTATTCGTTAAGTTTCGAGAAGTATAAATAAGTGTTAAACGATTAGCATTGAAATAACGTAATAATATAAAAGTGTAGTTGACAACTTTGATCGTAAAATATGGATGCAAATCAAATATCAAAATTTAATTTTATTGTATCGAATATTACGTCTAATCGATATCAAACACAATTTAAAAATCTTCATACCGTTCTTTCCTTCCTATCAAGTTCTAATTCTCAAAGAAAACTTATCAGTCCATTTTTTCATTTATGTGGAAGTGAACAAACAAATTATATAAAGGTAGAATTCAATGAAAATTCGGTAGAAGTTATGTTGTTAAATAAATTTGAAGAAACATTGTATCATGTAAAACCGATATTTACTTCAATGAGAATGATCAAAAATGGCGAAACTGAAGAATTTAAAATAAAAGAACCCGGTTCGTTGAATTGGTCACCAATTAAACAGCAAAAATATTTCAACTCAATTGGCTTTTTTGAAATTCAATTTACCATCTATTATTCAATTATACCAATTTTCTCGTTTTTCGTATCAACAAAATCTTTACTCCACGATTGCTTGTTGAATATGTACACGGAAAGAAAATTTTCAGATGTGGTATTAATTGTTGAGAATAAAAAATACTCCGCACATAAGTCAATACTTGCTAAAAGTCCTGTATTCAAAGCTATGTTTCAACATGAAATGCGAGAAAAGTATCAAGATGTTGTTACTATCGAAGGTATAGAATCACAAATATTTGACATTATATTAAAATTTCTCTATGTTGGTGAAATAAACGATATTAATGAAATCATCAAATTTGATAATAAAAACCCGAAACAATGGAAATTGGCAAATATTTTAAAAGCAGCGGATATGTATCAGATCGATGATATGAAAGTGTTATTAGGCGATATTGCAAGTAAATATATAAATATTGATAACGTCGCATATTTTCTTGCTGTTGCTACGGAATATAATACATATAATTTAACATACTCTTGTGTGTCATTTATAAAAAACTGTGGTAGCCAAATATGTAATAATAAGAAGTTTAAAGAAATAATAACTGTAAGTCCGACGGTTGGGTTGCGACTGCTAAACTATCTCCTAAAAAAATAATTTATAATCGATTAAAATCCTCGCTTTTGTTTTTTTTTGCTTTTTTTCTTATTTATATCTTTCTGTTATCTCGAATAAAACGTTCAAGTAATTTGACGTGAGATGTAGAGATGAAATATGATATAGATTTTTAAATAAACACAATTGATAGTTTCTTTAACAATTTATTTTTACGTATCAATATTATTTTCATTATAACAAACAAACAGATGATACGATTATTTATGATTTATAATTGTTTGTAACAAATTATCTACAAGAATTTTGATCGATGTTCATTATATATTATAATTAGTTTTCTGTAGAAGGTGACAAAGAAAATTATCATCTTTATTATATAATTTGACAATGTGTACGATTTGTATATTTTAATGATAATAAAAAATGACTAGGTTGATCGCATTTTGCGAAATTGAATTTTACATCTAATGCGTCTGACAAATGTCTAATTGTAAATTTTACAAAACACAAAATTGTTTATAAAAATAATATTATAAGAAGCGTGATCGATCTTCTTCTTTTTTTTTCTTGATCAATAAAATAATTCAATTTAAAAAGTGTACAATGTGGTTTTTCTTTCATGAAAGTTTATGGTAAACGGAAGTAAACAATAATGCATTATTTTCTGAAATAATTAATTGCGTTTTTTTTCTTGCGTTTTTAATAATAGTCGTTGAAAGTTCGATAAATTCGATTTGTTGCCGATATTTTTGATTTTTTTTTATCGCATGATAAAAATCGATTGGTAAGATTAAATAAGAAGAAAAATGATCATTCCATAATAATTCAATAATTATTTCTCTTTTTTTTTTTTCTTCTTTTTGAAATCTTATTTATATCCGTTTATATTTGAATACGTGTATATATTTATATAAATAATTTGAAAAGAGTAATTTTGAAAATTATGTTTACTACTGAAATGGCTATATATAGCAGAACAAAGTCGTAGTTTACTGTTTGTTTCGTATATAGACATTATTTTCATTTCGCAATAACCTTTTGAACAACACAAATTAATAGAAATTATTCGAACATCAATGTTAAGGAAATATGACATAGCAAAACAAAAATAAAATAAAAAGTCATAAGGATGATGGTAGAAAAAAAAAGTTTTCATCTTTTTTTAATAATAATAACGAGGGATTATAGACACGGTAATTATTATTATTATAAAGATTTAAATATTACTATTCATTGGGTACACATAACATCACTTTAATAACTTGTTGTTACGAATATATATATATTGTATGAGTTTAATAATAGATATAAGATTTATTCTATAAATTATATATCAACGCTTTCATTTCATTCGTCTGATAGCTTTAAACCTTACCGGAGAGTTGTATTTTGACGGTTAGTAAATTAGTGAGAAGTGATAATACAATATAGAATTAATTACGTTTATTGAATTATAAGAGATATTAAAGTGCGTTGATATTTCTAATTATTCGTTAAATATGCCTTGCAACAGTTCGGAAATTGATTCACCCGAGCAAGTCATTACAGATGATCATAATTCGGAGTATGTTTCGACCGTATTCACTTATTTAAAAGTAATGAATAAAAGAACTGACCAAGAATTTCATACTCCAGATTTTCTATTACATAATACTATACAATTGTGTTACGTATTCATATATTGGAATGAAACAGAACTTGCATTTACCTTGGGAAGCAAATGCGATAAGGACTTATATCGTATCAAGCTAGGTTTTACAGACATCAAAATATTCCACGAAAAAGATCAAATAAGTTGTGATTTTAAAGTAGAACCAGTTAACAGTTATAACGGATATTGTAATACGGTCAATAATTTAGATTTTTACGACTATCGTCAACTCAAATTTGTATTTTATATCAAACATATAACGTATATTATCGAAGGTTTATTTCCAAAGAAAAGTGAATTATACGCACGCTTGAAAAGTATGTACAAAGAGAAGAAATTTACTGATCTGAGAATATATGTAAAGAACACTGAATTTTTAGCACATAAAGCGATAGTAGGAAGGAATTCTACATTCGCAGAAATGTTTGAAAATAGTACGGAAGATAATGTAAAGGTTATCAACATCAATGACTTGGATCCTGCGATATTCGAAATTATATTGAATTTTCTTTACGTAGGTGAAACTGAAAAAATTGACTTTACCAAAGGAAAACTAACGCTTCTTTTTAATTTATTACAAGCGGCGGATAAATATAAGATCGATGATTTGATAGCGAAATTGACAGATAAGACGATAAAACATTTAAACAAAGACAACGTTATTGATATACTTAAATTTTCTGAACAATCCAACTTGAAACTCTTAAAAAGCCGATGTATTTATTATATTACAATGTATCGTGCAGAAATTTGCGAAAATGAGCTTTTTAAAGATATGATTTTAAAATATCCAAGGATAACTGCAGAACTGCTTTATTTCGCCTTACAAACTATTGGAGAAGAATACGTTTCAGATGAAAATTACTGATTTCTTTTATCACATTTACTACTTATATTATATTAAATAATGATAAACAAAACATTATAACGATGAGAACATATGTTTTATAAAATTAATTTCAAAGAAAAAGAAAAGACAAATTTTATTTATAAGAAAACAGATGGAACGAGTAATTATGATTTGTAATCGATTTCAACAAACTATATACAAGAATTTCGATCGATGTTCATTATATCTTATAATTATTAGTTTTCTGTAGAAGGTGACAAAGAAAATTATCATCTTTATTATATAATTTTTGACAATGTGTACGAGTTTTATATTTTAATGACAATAAAAAATGATTAGGTTGATCGCATTTTGCGAAATTGAATTTTACATCTAATGCGTCTAATAAATGTCTAATTGTAAATTTTACAAAACACAAAATTGTTTATAAAAATAATATTATAAGAAACGTGATCGATCTTCTTCTTTTTCTTGATCAATAAAATAATTCTATTTAAAAAGTGTACAATGTGGTTTTTTCTTTCATGAAAGTTTTATGGTAAACGAAAGTATACAATAATGCGTTTTATTTTCAGAAATAATTAAAAGAAAATTCTTTAAAATTTGTTCTCGAATTCAGACGTACTTTCTTACGTTTTTAAATAATAGTCGTCGAAAGTTCGATAAGCTTGATTTGTTGTTGGTATTTTTTATTTTATTTTTTCATCACATGATGTATAATCAAATATATAAACTATATGCATAAAAATCGATTCATAAAATTAAACAATAAGAAAAGAAAGTATATTGTAACTCTAACGCAAATTAATTTTGTTTTTACAAGCTGATTCTCTCTTATTTCGATAATAACGATTAGACGATAATGTAAAAAATATTAATTTGAGAAAGAATAATAAATATCGATTTATTTCGTCTCTCTTGGTAAGATTTTCCTTGATAGATTGTTGTTACTTTAGTTAGAAAATTAAATTACGTATTTACGTATTTATTTCTGATAACGTATAATTAGAATACCAATATCAATCATTCGAAAATATGTATTTGTTTATTCAAAACGATATAAACGATATATATATATACGAGTTAATGTCACTATAGAAACTAAAATATTTTGTTTTCTTAATGATAAATAGCACACACAACTCTTGTTATTTATTTTAACGAATCAGATTACTTTGGTTATACGAATAGGATTGATTATGTATGTTTAAACAATTCACTTCAATTTCATTCGTCCAAAAGTTTCGGACTTAATCGCAGAGTTGGGTTTTAACGGTTAGTAAATGATATATATCGAGAAGTTAGAGAATAAAATATAGAATTAAATAACGCTTATTGAATTCAAGTGAATTCAATCGTAAAATATGATGGCTTACGATTTAGACAATGTTGCGTCTGAAGTAAAGATTCAAGAAAAAGAAGAAGAAGAAGAAAATGAAGAAGAATTTCTGTTAATAACTACTATTTGTACATTTACAAGAGCATTGCTTCCACAAACTGAAGACAAATTTGTAAGTCAACCATTTTACTTACACAATACTTTGGAATGCTATTTTATAGAAATCATTTGGGAAGGATTTGAATTTGTGGCGCAGATGATACCTACATTAAATGAAAAAGTGGAGTGCAATTTCAATCCATATTTTGGTGAATCAACAATATTTGACCAAACGTCACAATGTAATTACAACTTTCAATCTGATAAAGATAATCCTACTTATACGTCATGTTCCATGTTAGGTTATTGCGAGTTTATCGATATTCGTTTACTTTCATTTACATTTTCTGTTCAACATGTTAGACCTTATTTCGAAAATATAAACCCGACACAACCAGAACTGTACGAACGTTTACACGACATTTTCAAGGAAAAAAGATTTACGGATGTCAAGATAAACGTCAAGGGGAGAGAATTTTCAGTTCACAAGGCATTGATCAAAAGATGTTCCATATTGTATGAAATAATCAGAAATAATCAAAACAAAAAGAATAGAAACTTCGTTGAAATAACCGATATTGAACCTGACATTTTCGAAGTTATATTGAAATTTCTTTATCTTGGTGAAACTGGAACGATTGATTTGTATGAAAATAATAATGAATTTCTTTTTAATGTAATATTAGCGGCTGACTTTTATCAAATTAACGATTTGAAACATAAATTGATCAATATAGCCATAAAATATCTAAGCATTCAAAATGCCATTCATAATCTTATTTTTGCTGAGAAATTCAACATTTTTATTTTAAAAGAAAACTGCATGAAGTATATACGAGTTTATGGTAAACCCATATCCAAGACTGCGCTATTTCAAGAGCTGGTAGACGGGTATCCGAAATTGTCAGCAGATATGCTTTTATATGTTTTACGTGAATAGAATTCGATAGGTTTGTAACTTATTTCTTTTTAATATTAATTATTGTTTTTTAACTCACACATTTATATTAAATTTACTAATAATAAATAATCAATTGTAGCAATGAAAAATGCTATCTTATTAATGACAAAAACAAACGTTACTCTTAATATCGGTTAATTTTTTTTGTCGGAAAAAAATTTTGCTAATCATCTTAAATATTTTTAAGAACGTTATTGTGATTATATTTTCTACTATTCTTCTTTTTAATATTTTTTACAGATTTTTCTAAGATGTTGGATTGCATTTAAACGACTATTTGTTGAGCTGCGAAATGACTACATCAATGTTTAAGAGATATAACTTATGAATCTGTTATTATTATTATCAAATTTAAATTGACGAAAACATCTGTTAAGAATTCAAATCTGTTTACTAAAATTTTCCGTTAATGTGTAAAAAAAAAAACAAAAAAAGGCGTAACAAAAACGAATAACATTGGTTTCAAATTATAACTGAACTCAAAATAAAATTTTGTTGAATTTTTAATATTGAAACTATAATAAAAAGTCTCAAAGATGATCTTATTGTAAGGACAAAAAAGTTTTCATCTGTTTAAAACTGTAATGACGAGAGATAGATTAAAATTATTATTATAAAAGTTTTAATATTTCTATTTTCTTGTAACAAATAGTCCTACTTAGGTAACTTATTTATTAGTTACTTAAGTAACTTATTTATTATTAGGACAAAATATATTTTTCTTTATGGTGTATTTACAATTTCTTGCTTCTACGTTCAGGAATCAATGAGAAGTGTTAAGCAGATCTTTTCAACAATTTTTTTAATATAAAAATTAAAACAACTTTTATCATCAAGCGTAACTCGTTTTATAATTTTAAACATGTAACATATCTAAAAAATATCTGTGGCGTTTTCTAGATAATTAAAAAAAGTTCCTAGAACTCCTTATGGATCCTTAGAAAGGACGAGAAGAGAATCCCTAAAAAAAAGCTTTTAGTTCCAAGAAGATACCAACTAGAAAAAACATTTTTCAAAAGGATCGAGACAACCGTCCAGGATTCATCAACTTCTATTATAGTTAACGAATAAATTTTCTATTTATTTTATTATAAATCATAATATTTTCTTTTCCTCGACATCTTTTATGAATCTCATTACAATCTGGTAAAGTATCGTTACAAATTTAGTTAGTTGATTTACAGTGCTGCCAACTTACGTTTGAACGAGAACCCACGATGTGAATATAACCAAGGAATGAAATCATTTGATGATAAAGAAGATTTCTTTCCAACTGTTTATCCGATGTATACCGTCTTGAATACTTGAATCGTTTTTATCGACCAAAATTGATCAACAGATCACCAATAATATAGAAATTTCATTTGATGATTAGCCAAAAACTTTCTAAATACAAATGTTTCTAGATGTCGCGTGGATAAGTCGGTAAGGAAGATAAAAATCATATTTATTATTCCAATATCCGACTGTTTACAATTTTTATATTTAAACGTTAATGGTGACAAATTCACAATTTCATGAAAAAATTGATTTTTCGTTTGAAATTATAACGAAAGCTATACGATAATATAGACATAAATCATTTTACAATAAATGTTCGTATTCTTCGTGACACGTTGCGTTATTTTAATAGTCCGACACTATGACAAATGAACATATTGATTTATGAACATATTTATTTAGAAACATACTGCTCTTGTCCATTTTATAAGATTAGTCTCTTCGAAATTATATTCCTAATATTATCTCACGTATATATTTCTCTTCTATATTTATTTTATATATTACAATATTTTTGTTTCATATGTAAAAAAATGACGAGTAATAATACCAATCAAAAAATACGATTATAAGATCAATCTAATGATGTATTTCTTTTTTCCATATTAAAACATAGGTTCTCAAAGTTTTGCCTAGATGAACCAAATTGTAAATTCCAAAATATTTATCAAATATAACTAAATAATGTCAAATAAGAAAAGAAAACAATAATAACAACTCTCCATTCCACGTATATTAAAGATACAATTTAATATTTTGTTCAATCGAATTAATTTAAATTACATTATAATAAATGTGATTTATTTTTTTATAAAAATGTAAATCATCTTTATGAAATCAAGATCGTTGATGATCTGACATCGCGATCCACACTTTGAGAATCCCTGTTCTAAAACACAAGCTGTTAACTTCGGGATTACGATAATATATCTTTAAAAAGTGATATGTATACATGCATAGATATTAATATAGATATAAGATATGATGATACGAGAGAGTAACAAAAATATAATTTGTAATTTTTTATAGATGTTACCGTCATAACCGGAAATCCGCCATTGCTAGTAATTCCTCGGCATTACTATGAATGCAAAGAGCCTTCCAATGAAGTCGGAAACAGAAAAATTCTTACAGTTTTTTCTAAACAACAAACATAATACTTTGATATTCTATAGAGAATATCAAATTATTATTTAAACAACGTGGAAAGGAATACATTCTCGAGCACAGACACACACAGCCATACGCAACCCCTACCCCCCAAAACAACCAAATAGGTAAAAAACATTTCTTTCTAAACCTGTTTATCTTCCGATACGATAGGGAACAAAAGATACAAATTTCCGTGAAAATCTCTATGAATATCTGTCTAACTAATGTCTAGAAAATATAGCCTGAACCTTTGCAAATCGATTTATTATTCGACAAGGTATTTTACACGTAGGAAAAAGGGAGTACTTTAATTTAATATAAGAGTAATTAAAATCTATTCACTCTTTTGGTATGGAAATATTTACAGAAACCTTTAAAAGAAATATCGAAGATTGCAATGCGGTAAATTATGCATCTTTGAAAAGTTTTGGTAAATATTTTTTATACTAAAAGTGTGTCTAGATTTTAGTAAAACTTATATTAAAATAAAGTACACTATCTTGTCTACGTGTGGAGGAATACTATATCGAGTAATAAATTGTTCTGCAAAAGTTCAAAAGATGTCAAAGAATGCGCTGCTGCAAATTTTTCCTACTTTGCCATTTCTTTGAAAAGTTTTGGAAAATATTTTGTATACTTTTAGCAAATAGATTTTAATAAAACTTATATTAAATTAAAGTACACTCTTGTATCTACACGTAGAATACAAATTTGAGTTAATTAGTTATATTTGAGCTAATCAAATATACATATACACAAACACCATGGATGCATGCATACTATCTTATAAACCCTTACGACAAAGGGAATAAACAACAATTAATTCTCAAAGTTTATATTTTTGTTGTCATTTGTTTCAATAATTAAAATGATCTTTTATAATTTAAGATTAAATTTATATGTATTACAGAGAGAATATTCCAATGAAACAAACAGTTTAAGAACTTTAACTTTAATATTATGGTACATGGAAATACAAAATGTCGAATAGTGGTTCAATACGATGGTCATGCTTCTTCGAATCATTCGATTTGAAAAAAAAAAATACAATTACGTATTGATTTGTTATCATTGTGATAACGATTAAACGATTCAATTCTTAATAGCAAATTGATAATATTATTATTATCGATTATTATCAATCTGTTTCCTCTCTGTTTCCTTCTCTTTCTTTCTCTCTCTCTCTTTCTCAAATTTCAAATTTACGAATACATGTTTTAATTGACTGTTAATTATTGTTTTCTTATTAGCGACCCACATACAAGTCGTTCGTGCAAAGGCTTCGTATTAATACTGATCCATATAAAGATTGTATCATATATATGTTAGATCGAATTTCGTATATAGAAAGATAATCGCGTAAACATAAACAATAACACACACGGTTAGAGTTATTATAGAAATTTAAATATTCCTAAATTTGTGGAAACACTATTGGCGCCACATTAGTAAATTTATCGTTACAAATAATATTAGTTTGATAATAATACGTAAAGGTATTTCTTCCGTATATATTATCAGCGAATATTTTCGTTTCATTAGTTGTAACAATTTGAACTACCATAAAGTGTGAAGTTAAATAAGCGAAATATCAAAAATTTGAAATAAAATTCAATAGACCGCACATTAATTGTTATATATATAAAAAAAGAAAAATATCAAAGTGTGTTATAGTTTCGTAGATCATAAAATATGAGTGAATTTATTTTGAATGGTAGTTCAAGTCCGTTTAATTGTCTAATAGACAATGGTTTTGGAATAAGTACTACCTTTTATTCGTATCTAGTTCTTACTCCCATAGATGGGGAAACACTTGTAACTCCAATATTTTATTTAAACGGCAGTGAAACAATGGTTCATTTAGAAATAAATTGGAAAAGCGATATGATTAGAGTTCGGTTGGTTACCGAATATGAATTATTTGACACGAAACCACACATAACAAAAATAACCATAAGCCAAGATAATAGAAAAAATAAGCAAATGCATATATTCAATAGGAAATATATGGATGAGAAATGGTGGATGGAATTTAAACGACCAAAATTTGATGAACCAAAGTTTCTAGAATTTCTATTTAGTTTCATATACGATGAAAGAAGAAGAACAATTAACAGCATAATATCACGTAAAATGGATCTCTACGAACGTTTGAATAAATTGTATAAAGATAAGACGTATGCGGATCTTAAAATAAGAGTTGGCGAGGTAGAATTTTTAGCTCACAAAGCGATACTCGCTGCTAAAAGTCCTGTATTCGCAGATATGTTCAATCATATTACGAATGCCGAAAGTGATAATGTTATTATTATTAATGACATCGATCCGAAAATATTCGAAATTTTCTTGAAATATCTTTATCTCAGCGAGATCGACCATATTCCAAGAACAAACACTAATTATTTTCTACATTTAATCCAAATATCAATAATTTATAAGGTCGATGATTTTACATTGGCAATGAGTAAATTGGCAATGAATTCATTAACTCCTGAAAATCTTCAAAAATGGCTTATCTATGGTGTTGATTTAAACTTAGAATATATTCAAGGAGTGACTACATCTTGTATTAGAAATTGTACTAATTCCGGGGTTCCTTACCTTTCAAAATTTAATAACAATAATATATTATAAGATATAATACCCGGATGTTCAACGATAACAAAATATATTGTTAGAAATTGTAGCGATAATTAATACTCCGTAATACAATTCTTCACTTTTTTATTTATATTTTTTCTTTTTTATATTATTTCAAAAATTCAAATCAAATGTTAAATCCCGACACGATGATTAGACGATTTCTTTGTCGATCTAAAAAATATACCAAAGTTCTAACAAAGAATGTATTAATGTAAAATATGTATAATTGTAAAAATAAAATATGTAATGTATTATAATTAATGTAAAATATAAATGCTCAAAGTCGTTAGCATTTAAATTTCCATAAATAAAGTTGTAATTAAACGTTAGTCGTTCCTTTTGTTATTAACAACCCATATAAGGGTCGTACCACGCGGCAACGTATATCTATAATCGAATTTGTTATTTGAAACGATAATCGTATTAGATAATGAAGAAATAAGCTATCTCAAAATATAAGTACCTTCGAATCTATTTTCAGTATTGTCATCTAACATTTTAGCAATGATATAATTGATATGAAAATATATTAGTCGAAGGTAAACATTTATTTGCAGTTGTTTTAATTTTTGATTTTATTCATTAATACAATAATTAAAAATTAATACAAAAAGAGAATTAAAAAGAGAAAGAAATTTTCGAATAGAACGAGGTGGTTGGTAAGAGAATCTATATGAACAATTAATTTATAAGAGAAATCTATACAATACGATGAATCAATACTACATTTTTTTCTTTCGATATCATACTTAAACGAAATAATTGATCTATATGAAAACAAATTCCATCAAGATATATAAACTCAAGTTAAATGTCATCCTAATGCGAAAGTTCACATAAACCGCTTCCTATCTACAAACAAAGAATACAAAAATAAAAATATTGAAATTTCATAATGAATATTTATGAATCGTTCACATTTGAATTATTTCTTTGATAGAATTTAATTGAAGACATTTCTGACGCTTCCGTTGGAAATATCGAAGAAAGGAAAAACAAAAATTATGAAGAAAATGAAAATATTACTTTTTAATATCGTTCATTCTCATTGCAGTTACGTGTAGCCGCAAATTTGTTTTGTCTATGACACCAAGGATGGTCATCAGTGACCGGAATATATTCTACGTTTATAATTGTAAAAATTGAATGAACATTATCAGTTAATTAATTTGAAACATCACATATAGGTAATTAGAATTTCTTAATTAGAAAACATTACACATTTTATTTTAGAAAATGGTTTATCTATTACGTTTGTAAAACGAAATTAAAGTCTTTAATTGTACTTAATCTATCATATATTGCATTTAATTTTTTACGTTTAACTATCGTGTGAATTCGAAGTAATGGTTAACGTGTTAACGAAAGAACTTTCTAATATCTATAATGAATGTATTACGAATTCTTTTCTAACGTCTATCAATTCATTAAAAATAATTGATTGTTTTAATCATTATTATGATTATTTTCTTTTTAAATTAATAAAACCGAGAGCAGAGAAGTTTTTCTTTCTCTTTAATTGCACACATGCATTCGTCTTTCAAATGACTAAACGTGCTGGTGGTTTCATTGACATCGCATTTAACCTATGGGATGATTTTACAATCGACCGAATAGAATGAAAACGATTGATTCCTATTCTAAGAAATATATTCCCTCTCTCTCTCTCTCTTTACGTCTTTATTAAATATTATCCGACCCACAGAAATATCAACGCAATATGCTGAAGTGCAATCAAGGTCACGAGATATCTATCTAGGTCGTTTGGAAAGTAATTTCGTAAAAACTAAAATATAATAAAAATATAAGTTTTTCAACTTTCAATCAATCCTGACGAGAAAAAATAAAAAAGAAATATATAGATAGGTATTTTCTAATATTAATAAGCTTATCAACCTTGTAACATTTTATCGAAGATATGCATATGTTTTTTTTAGTTGTGATAAGATTTTTTAACAATAGTAAAAAAATGCCTCTAATCAAGCGAATAATCGAAGTTTCTCTCTATGCAGTATTACATTATGCACAAATCAAGGCTTCGGTATCCATCGAGATCATATTTTAAAAAACTTTACGACTTACAAATAGTAATATTGAAAAAAAGCCTAAACGAAAAACAAATCATTTTTTATAATAATCTTCAATTCGTCTTCTCGAATTGTGGACGATTTTTATTCGAAATTTTTAATTCTATGCTCAACTTAAAATTTGATTTATATTTTGATAAATCGTTATGAGCTGAAAAGTATATATATATATAGAATAATTTAATTT